CAGCCAAAATCTGTGCTACTTAAACTCTCCTGACGTGCTGTAACCTAAAACCGCCTATCAAATCAAGCCACTGAATCATCCAAAACAACAAGATATACCAGTTTAGTGCATGGCAGGATACACTCTTTCAACTGGGACCTCATGATATTCATTGTTATAAAGCTTCTGGATTAGATAGGCAGTTTTAGGTTACAGCACTTCAGGAGAGTTTAAGTAGCACAGATTTTGGCTGAAGGCAACAAGAAGACAAACAATGGGCCTAATTTACCTCGGTTTGTATCTTCGCATAACACATAAATGAGATGCACAAGTAAAGCTACACCAAAGCCAAAGTAAATAAATGCTATATTGTAAAACTAAATATGCAGTTATGAAGAGAGATGGTTGAAAAAGTCAGGAGAGGACATAACTGAAACCAGAAAACAAATGTCAACAAACAGTCCAATAGAAACCAGTCATTTATCCCCAGAGTCATATGAATGTTTAAATCAAGCTAATTTCCAAACAATGCTTTATATGTAAACTTTGTGTATTTGATAAAATATGGTATTTTAAAGTTGTACGGAAGCAACATGTCTTAAAAATATTTGAAAAAAAAAAAAAGGCAGCAAAATTTAGTGTGACATGGAAACAGCTAGAACAGCATTTTGCTACTGATTAGGTTGATTGACAACAGGTCTGTAAGGACTGGGTATAAAAAGAGCTTTTTTTTAGAGAGGTCAAACCTCTTAAAAGTAAAGATGGGCAGAGGTTCACCAGTCTGCAGAAAATTATGCTTAAAATTGCAGAAAATGTTCAGAATGATGTTCCTAAGTATAAAATTGGAAATACTTTAAATATCACATCATCTTCAGTTCATAATATCATCAAATCATTTCAAGAATCTGAAATCACAGGAACACTTCCACAAAATATTGTAAACACAGCTTGTTGTGCCATTCTGGTTAAAGCTCTATCATCCAAAAAAAAACAAAAAACAAACATTAACATAATCCAGAAACACAGCCATCTCTCTGAGCTCATTTAAATTCAATTGTAGCAAAGTGCAAAACTGTTCTGTGGTCAGAAAAAAAAGAAAATTTGGAATTATTTTGTGAAAACATGGACGCCACGTGGTTTGGTACTAAAAGGAAGAGGGACCATCTAGCCTGTTATTAGCTCACAGCTGAAAGGCCTGCCTCTCTGATGGTATGGGGGTGCACACCATGAATGCAGAAAAGTAGAATCAGTTTTATAAATAGAGCAACAAAGGCTTGCATATAGCCAAAAATAAAAATCCAGCAAAGACCCAGGACTGCTGAACACTTCAATCAACCCAACATCAAACAGGAATGGGACAACGTTCCCCTGCAAAAACTCCAGCAACTGGTCTCTTCACTTCCTAATGTTTACAGACTGTTGGTAAAAGAAGAGAGGATGCCTCACAGTGGGGGAATCTGGCCCTGTCCCAACTATTTTAACGTGTTCTTCCTATTAAATTCAAAATTAACTAATTTTTTACCAAAAAAAACGTGATGTTACAATTGCTTACTTTTACATTTGATAAGTTTACAATGTTCTCATGTGGATCAAACTTGGATTTATGAGGTTTTTAAATCATTGCAGTGAGTTTTTATTTATACTACACAATCCCAACTTGTCAGGGTTGTGACTGCACAGTTAAAATAAGACAAATCAGCAACTTAAATCCAAGCGTTGCCATTTCATGTTCATGGTTCCTTTAAAATTAGCTTTTTGTGCAGAAGGACTTGTTTTAAGGGGGGAACGGAAGATAAAAAAAAAAGGTCTCACGTAGATTTGTAACCTTGTATCGCCCAAGCAGCAATGATGAGACTGAAAAAGAACATTTATGGAAGTCCAAGCTGTAATTTTCTCAACATTTTGGATCGGCTCCCTTTAGACTCGCTGCTCCCTTTTCCCTCCCTCAGGCTGCTTTGACTCGTCGTGTGCAGCAACAGAAAACATTAATTCATAAAATAAACTAACCATTCTGAAACACCTGTCAAACTACGTTTTCAAAATGAGAAACAGTTAACCTATGTGTCTTATTTCATTAAGAATGCAACAGGCTAAAAATCCTCCATAGTTATGTTTCTATTTCTCAAAAAAAAAAATCTAATAAAACTAGTTTGTCTTTTTTTTCTTTATTCAGTTACAATAAAACTCCAAATGAAAAGAGGCTACAAAAAGCAATCAAAAAAATATTAAACTCAATAACACTTAAACCCATTACTTCCGTTAAAAATATTCTAAACACAAAACAAACTTGACTTTAGTTTTGTAGGAACTGCTTGCCTCAAATCATTTTAATCACATTTATTTTGCAGTTTTCTTCTGCAGACACGTAACTTTCCAATGCACGTCCATTTAATTACAAGTGTTGTGCTGGTAACCCTCAGCTCTGCTTGCAGGCTTCCAGTGAAACGTTACAAAATGTATAATTGTGTAAAACCTCAGATTAAAATGACACTGAGCATCAGACGGATCCGGGCTGTGTAATTTCAACTTACAGGCAGAAATAAATTCACGTTGAACTTACATTTCTAGCATCTGAAAGGAAAGATCGCCTAGATCGTTTGAAAGTACGGTAAAAGTCAGAAAAACCGTTTCATGTTCGGTTGTACAACAGATTATCTGAGCGCTACAAAATCTGCTGCAACGTAGAAGCAGTTCTGTGTTTAGGCTCCAGGCTGACGGAGGAGCAGGAGGAAGTCGTTTAAAAGTGCAAAAACAATTAGAAATGTAACGTAACTTTGTGCTGGTCGTCAAAACTGAAGCTGCGATTTAGTTTTGAACATGTGGCTCAAAGTTTGTGCCACATGTTCAAATAAGCACCTTAAAAAATATATAATGTTACCATTTCCAGGCTCCGAACAACATCACACGCACATGCACACACAATTTTTAACAAAGCTGCAAAGGAACACAAGTTCATATCTGGAATTATTATTTTTTTTAAAGTTACTAATATTTTATTTACTTTTCTTTTTTTGCCGCAGCGAGCTAGCTCGCACGAAGACTTGCCGATTGTTTTTACGCCAGATGTTCTTCTTGACGCAACCTCAGAGCACCGAGCTGCCGCAGCCCTCTGTGTGGAGCAGGGAGCTGCTAGGGTGCCCAGGGGAGCAGATGGTTGAGGTTAAGGGTGTTGCTCAAGGGCACAGGGTGGGGCTGATACGGGTGGAGGCAGGTGTGGGCGCTTTATCTTTCCCACCTGCATTTTTTTTTATGTTGTCGGTTCGGGGAGTTGAACCGGTGACCTTCAAATCACAGACTCAACTTCTCTAACCTCTGCACCACCTACTGCAAAATACCGCATACTCTTAACTTGCTTAGATTGTGACGATTAGATTAGATTAGATTAGATTAGATGTCTTTTTACATTTATTATAGGTCTGTTGGTATCTGCACTGTGTTTGTGTTGGTTTTGCACGTAACGTTCCGTGCTGCACCGCGATCCTGGAGGAACGCCGTTTTATTTCAATATGTACTTGTACGTAGCTGAAATGACAATAAAACCTCTCTGACTCGGACTCATGAGCTATTAAAATATTAATTTAATTCCATGAGAATTGCTTTTACTGTGTGCATCATTGAATGCGTTTTATTCAAAGGGGGAAAAACATAAACGTGTTTAATTTTAAATGAGAAAATAAGATTTAAGGGAGGAAAGCCTGCATGAATCCAAACAACAAAATCAAATTGATTGTAAAACCCAGTTTATTAAAATTTTCCTGTATTTTATCTTTTCCTGCCCTCCCACTGTAACATCTGGTTGTTGGCCTCATGCAGTCCTCACCGACACATTCAAACTTATAAATGACTTATGTTAATCTCAATTTGTTTTCTAATCTGTGCCGTTTCTCATTATTTATAGCGCAACTTCATTTCCTTTCTTTCCATTTTCTCTGTCCTGAAGCGCAATGACAATAGAAATGCAGGACCATGGAACAAACAAGTCGTTTATTGAAATAGGTAAGAACGGTTACGAAAAGTCACCACTGTTTGCAAACAGGCCGTACAGAACAAGAGAACTCTTGTTTTATTCATACTTTTTTTTTTGGAGCATCACAAACGAGAGGCATCTCCAGTAGATTTTAATGAGTAATTCCACAGACTCAGTTTTTTTTTGTTTTTTTTGGGGAACAATCTAAGCTATGAAATTGTTACGATTACCATTTATTTAAAAAAAAAAACATCTCAGAAATGGACGACATCCTGCATATTTACAAAAATAAGACTGTGAATATAAAACTTGAACTGTTTTCTTCTTTTTACTTCCCTTAAAAAAAGCAAAGTCTTCCAAAGATGATGTTGTAAAGTTTTCACTGATCCCGTTTCAAAGTGGAAATCTTGAATGCAGACGATCGGGGACTTACCGTATTTTTCGGATTATAAGACGCACCAGATTATAAGGCGCAAACTAAAACATTTTGACAGATTTTTGAGCACCGTGTACCACATAAAATCAGTTCATAAGCACAACCAGAATTAATATATAAGTGGCGCCGGATTATAAGGCTCACTGTTGATTTTTGAGAAAATTAAAGGATTTTAAGTGCGCCTTATAGTCCGAAAAATACGGTACAGCAAACAGACGTGTCTATCTTTTCCACCTGTGAGTCATTTCACCTGGTCTGCCTCCTGCTCCACTGCTGAGCACCTTACCTTCTGAGATCTCATTGTTTTCCCGTGTCACGTCACCGCTTTGTCTCGTTTGGGACTCGGTCGTTTCGACGGTTGATCGCTGAGCTGGAAGAAATAATATATAAATGTAAAGGTCTGCATTAATGAAAGGCGGTCTTTAACAAATAGGCTTAACCACTTGTAAAAAAAAAAAAAAATCCAACTTGCAGATGTAGTATGACAGATAACTAAAAGGGTTATTTTGAAACTATCAGTGCACTCAGATACTTATTTAATGCAACGATTTGTGCTTTTTATAAGCTTTGATGAGCACACAGTCCTATCTGTGCGCTTTATACGAACACACTGAGCATCTCAGAAGCTGTGCGTTGAAAAGACACTTTAGAAGCTCTGTGTGTCCTGATTCTGTTTTCCTGATGTGAAGCAAAACAAGTACCAGAACCCTCTGAATGTCAGTGACTCAAACAAACACGCGTGGCCTAATTCTGTACAGTAAACTGAGGCGCGCTGTTGCTGTTGCTTTGCTTTGCTTTGCTTTGCCAAACCTCTTTTTTTCAAAAAGCTTTCAAAAAAGCATCTAACTTTAAGTAAAAGAAAACGTGCAAAGCAGAGGGATGCATTAATAAAACAGGGTGTTTCAATCAATATAAATAAATAACTAAATACCTACACATATATAAAACTGCAACATGTCAGGACGCCGATGAAACAAGCATGAAATAAAATCTTGGTATGTTCGCTATGTTCCGTTGTAAATAAAATATGGGTTTTGAGATTTTCAAATTGTTGCATTCTGCTTTCTTTTACATTTTACACAGCCCAACTTTTTCAGAAATAGGGTTGTATGTATATTTATAGAAGGGGTGTGGTTTCCCAGCAAGACAGAAATACTAGACTAAGCATGGCGAGTTAGTCCACTTTATTTTGTCCTCACCATATGCTAACTATTTTGGTGGAAAGCAAATCAAGTGTAAAAATAAATCAGTTCCAAACTGCAGGAGGAGCTAATAAGATTATATCCAGTTCCATTGCATTGACTATTAACAGAATTATTATTTTTTTTAATTTATTATTATTCATGTCATTATTATTTTTATTCAAAATCTTACTTCTAACCTACAAAGCCCTCAACAACCTATCTCCATCTTATAATTCCAGATCTTATTGTTACATATTTTCCTAACAGAGCACTTCGCTCTCAGACTGAAGGTTTACTCGTGGTTCCTAGAGTTTCCAAAAGCAGAATGGAAGGAAGATCCTCCAGTTATCAGGCTCCTCTCTTGTGGAACCAACTTCCAGTTTCTGTCTGTGAGGTTGACACATTATCCAGTTTTAAAACTGGTCTTAAGACTTTCCTTTTTGATAAATCCTATAGTTAGGTTTGGCTGGTTATGCTGCCATAGATTAAGACTACTGGAGGACAAATGGACCTCATTTCCTAAAATAAATTCTTAAAATCCCTCCAGCAAGTCCTGGGTCTTTCCCAAGGTGTCATGTCATGGGGTTGTGCCCACAAAGCCTCTTGAAAGCATCATAATCGATTGTCCAAACCACATCAGCTGACTCGCTTTGATACAGAAGAACAATGGCTCTATTTTCCTCATTTTATTAGAAGAAATAAATAAAATAGAAAATAAACATCTCCTAAAATAATTGGATTTAGCAAAAAAAAAAAAAACATTATATAGAGCATTTGTTTAGTTATAAACCAAATTTATGGTTTATCACCAACTCTTAAAGTGTTTGTGACATCATTTTTTTGTAATAAATATACATTTCTGGAAAGATAACCTATTTTATTTTAATCACAATACTGCGGTGAACAGCTGTGGAGGTATTTGCTAACTGGAAGTGATGACAAAGGGGAACACAGACAGATCAGAAGAATCTAATGTTCCTTCAGATTATTTTGAGCCACTATCAGACGGAGATCAGAGTTCAAATAAGATTGCTTACATAAACAAAGACTAGGGCGTTCCCCTTTTTAAAGAGTTCCCCTTTGATGTCACTTCCTGTTTCACTTTGTATGCACCAAGTTAAAAAGAAAATGCACCAGTTTTGTGAGAAAATGGGTAAAATTGTGTGCATTATGCCAAATTTCTTAAATATTAAGATGTTTTCAACCACTTTTTGTATTTGTGGGTTATGCATGTCACAAGCACTTTAAGTTTGTGCTTAAGTCAAAAGAATCAGCAGCCAACAGACAAAACTTTCAGAGGCAGCAGGTTCAGGAAGAAAAGAAACATTTGATGTGGTTTAAATTATGGAAACGTGCACTCTTACATCCTCCTGAGTCAGACACAAAGTCAAGGCACAACTGAGTGAAGCACCTAAAAGCTCCGTCTGTGTCGGCTTCGTTGCTTCCAACTGTCAGGCATATGGTTCCTGTAGCCACACCCTAATCAGACAGCAGGTTCTCTGCTAATCATAGCTGAAGGAAAACACCTGCTGTGGCTTCAATGATTGGAGCTAAAGGAGCAAATTCAACAGGGATCAACTCGAGCAGCACTTTTCTGTTACACGTCATGTTACAGTAAGAGAAGTTAGATTTATCTAGGTCAGATTTATTGTTTTCTAATTTTTATAAACCCCAAACTTAACATAAGATTGTAAAAGGCCACCTTGATTGCGCTGCAGTGACAGCCATTCAGTCTTTCGGCTGACTCGGCAACAGCGAGGATTTATAATTGGGCTCTGGTGAAGTCGCATACCTTCATGTTTCCCCTGCAGAGGTTTGCTCTCCTTCCCGGCTTTCACTGCGAAGATCTTGAAGTTGTAATCTTTTGACGGGTCATAATCTTCAATGAGTAGATTTGTTTCCTGATTTGATATTGACACCACCTTCTGTTTTCCACCTGTTACAGGAAAACCAAACAAACCATGAGGCAAGAGAAACTGTTTGGAATAAATTCTGGTTATATATATTTTGTAATCCTCGTTTTTTTTCAGTCAACTTTATTTATACAGGTTAGTCTCATTGATTCACGAGGACTCATTTTCAAGAAAGACCTGTTCGAGGCTCAATGTGATTTATCTGTATAAATAAATGTTGAATGAATATAAAATGAAAAGTAAATAAAAGAAGTGATATAAAACAAAATAAAAGCAAGCTACATTATGAAACGGGGCAAAATACTGAAAACAGGAACATGTCTACATTCATTTTTGCATTGAACTTAACACTTGTTTAAAATCCCTTGGAGAGGTCAAAGTCTACGGCTTCATTTATTTTTGTAAGGTGTTCCAGGAGCAGAGTCAGAAATGGCCTTTTTGCCGAGTTCAGTTTGCACTGAGGGGACGCTGCAGGTAATGATGTCTTGAGAGTGCATGCTGTAGCTGTACTGATGAAGTGACATCTAGGAGGAGATATATGAAGGCAGCAGACCAAGAAGTGATTTAAAGATGAAAATGTACCAGTGAGAGAGTCTGCGTGACGTTAATTATGACAAATTGACCAATGAATACAGGGTGCAGTGATGGGTACGGTAGTTACAGCCAGTTTTGAATCTTAGCGCATTGTGATAGACAGCATCCAACACCCGCAGGGTGCTTGTAGGAGCGTTCATGTAAATAATGCCACCATTGTCAATGGCTGGAAGGAATTAGCAGTTACAAGGCGTTTCCTAGCATTCAGAGTTAAACAAGATCTATTTCTGAAAAAGAAACCCAATTTTAATTTCAGTTTCTTTAAGTTTTCGGCATGAGGCTTACTAGAGATGTGCTATGGCTAAGATTCCCAAGTATTTGTAAGAATCGACAAACTCAATAGGAACACCATTCATAAATAAGATAGAAGGAAGAACTGACTGCACCTATTTCTTGTTTGAAAACAACATCCCATTGGTTTTATCAGCATTTAGCACCAGTTTGAGACAGAAAAAGTCTGACTGAATGATGTCAAATGCAGACTGTAAGAGCTGAAAAACCTTAGCAACTGATTAAGCTCGACAATAAACAACTTTATCGTCGGCATAGAAATGTAAGGATGCGTCAGGAATGATCTGAATTACATTACTTATGTAGACTGTAAAGAGAGTGGGTTCTAAGACTGAGCCTTGTGGTACACCATTGCTGACAGTCAAATAACTGGAAGAAGTACCATTGTGTTGAACACATTGCCTCCGATCTAAGAGATAGTTAGAAAACCAACAGATAGTGTGATCTGAGAAACCATTGTCTGAGAGCTTGTGCCATAAGATGGCATGATCTTGTATCAAACATTTTAGATGGGTCCAAATAAAGTCTTTAGCATCCAATGCTTCAACAACAAGTTGAAATAATCATTGTCCTTTAACCATTTAACAACTATATTTTGGCTCCCCTTGTCAATGGTGATGATAATGATTCTTGGAGGTATTTTCATCACAGCTAAAACCCCCTTGTCAGCTGTTAATGAGATTTTTTTAATTCAGTATATTGAAGGTCATCTTGGTAATAATGTGTCTTTGTGCAACGGGTACTGTATTTGCTAAACTGATTTTACTGACCTTGTTTTTTTAACCTGAAATTTAGTAAGATCCATCATATTTAACAGTCTTTTTATCGGTTTAAAAAACCGACCAAAACAAACCTAATTACTTATTTTGTTTTACCATGATTGTGTATTGTATGTCAACAATCCTCTTCATGATTTCGTTTGTATCCAGTTGCTCATGAGGCCATTAGTAATCATGTTTTCTGAGCACATGCTCAAAGAGCGTGACAAAACATGAATTCAAATGCTATTTAGAGTTGTTAGAATAAACCAAGAAAAACAGTCCAAATGAATATTTTCAAAGCAAATGCATGAAGCAGCAATCAAAGGTAATTTTTAAAGAACATTGTCCAGATTTGTGAGTTCTATTCATCAAAACCCCCCTTTTTAATGGGTTTTGGACATGAGCAAAGGAAATTGAAGACTGGCTCACAGCAAGTTGAATTCATTTTAGATTTGTTTATCTTCATATGCACCTGTACTAAGTATGTGGACAGCATTTAATCTTATTTTTTAGCAAGTTTTGAACAACAATAGCACAGAAGAATACAGATTAGCACCTCCTGTCACTGTTCCTACTCATTATAAAAGAGCAAATGAGTAAAAGCTTCTCGTTTTCATGTCTTTGATACAATTATTACGCCCGTGGATTATTTAGACAAGTCATTTAGAAGAAACACTTTTTGTCTGTTTTACTACCATCTGTGCTATCAGAATAGGGGTTTTAGAATAATTTATTGACTGGCTCCTTGTTAATGTGACGACTACTGTGCAGAGATCACAGAGTTTCTGTAATCTTCATGTAATGATGTAGATGTAAATTCAACAGGCATTCACAACACCTGTTTTGTAGCAGGAATATCTAAAGGGTGAGAAAACATTAATTTTGGATAGCAAAGCACTTTTTCCTCAAGAAGCAATTAAACCTGCAGTGAACTCGTCGTCCTTTGACAGGATGGAGTCTTTCGTCCACTTGGTGTAGCTTAAATGGAAATATGAATGAGTCTTAGAGGGGGGAACATAGAGTACATTCTTGAGAAGTGCTTTGATACTTGACTCGCACACATTAACATTCTTGGCCTAAAAAACAACAAACCCTGATGACTATACAGTCAAACAAGTCTCAGACAGAGCGATAAGACTAAAAGCATACAGTAGAAGAATTTGGTGCTTTGTGCAAGTCATATATTCCTGGATGCTGTTAATGATGGCCTGCTTGGACAATGAACTGCTGAGGTTATTTCCATAATATCTAACAAAGATATGCCCTTGTAATGAAAAATGATGAAAAATGCTGCAACTGACCCCATTAGTTCCCCCTGGATCCTTTTCCCTCTGAATGTTGCCATGTTATTAGCTTGGCAACATTCAGGGGATAAAGATTCAGGATTACAGATCCACTTCTCTCTGTTACACTAGCAGCTTTCTAACAGTCTTTGTTTGTTTAGTTTCATTTAGTTAACTGAAAAAAAAAAAAACTTTTTCTCAATTTAGGACCATCAAGGTGCTCCATGATCCAGCATAAAGGTAGCACTAAAGTACAATTTCTTGTCACACTGTTCCATGGACCTGTGTGACAGACATTTAATCATCTGCACCAACAATCACATGCATCTCGGATTGTTGGAAAGACACAGGCTATGTGCACTGATAGCAGCTGCATTATGAAACTTTCATTAATGAAATGGTGCCAAATACACAAAAAAAAACAAAGAGCATTCAGGAGCAAAACAAGAAAGCTTCTTTTGGGGAGATGTTGTGTTTCTCACATCTGACCAGGACCATGGTCTACAGAACAAATGGTAGTTATCAACAGGGCCTACACAGTGACGTCAACAAAACAGTTTTTTTCTGGAATGATGGACAAAAGTCTGCCGTAATGCCTACAGCTATCTGCATAACTTTGTTGATTGTAAATAAAATTTTCATAAGCAAAGGACACGACCATTGTACCACAGCAGAAACTAAAGGAGGTTTGAGACCGGACTGGGAGTCACCAGGACACTGTCCCTCACAAAAAACCTCTAAATGTGGCTCATTGTCAAACCCCGTCACATCCTTAAAGCAGAACATCGACCTTTTTTTACAGATATCAATGCACATGCGTAAAGTTAAGCACCATGTTCCCAAATACATTCATACCCACTTCCAATTGCAATGGTAGACTATAAGGGTGGAACACCAACTCTTGATAAAAGTGAACGAAAAGATGAAACATCAAACTTGAGAATAATTTCTAATAAATTTAGTCAAAAATGGGGGTACAAAAGGCAAATAAACATTATAAATAAAGTGCTATGTGTTGTCATCATCGTATGTTCCCATACAACAGTGAAATTGGTTCTCTGCATTTCACCCATCGCACCTGGGATACACCCAGGTGGAGCAGTGGGCAGCTATGTAAGCACCCAGGGAGCAATTAAGGATTAGGTGTTTTACTCAGAGACACCTCAACATGTGGGATTGACTGGGCATCAAACATGAAACTTTTGGTTGCCAAGTCGGCTGCCCTACCTCTACCTCACCTTGGCCCAAATTGATAATATATCAGTAAAAACAGAAGTAGGCATGATAAATCTAGACCGCAATGCATTATCCCCCTCCCTCTCGGTTTTCAAGTCCCGTTTAAAAACTCACTACTATTCAGTAGCTTTCAACACCAGATGATCTGTGTTTTGATCCTGTATGCTCCACACTGGTTTGTCATCATTATCTGCATCGTTTTTATGTCTATATTCTAATTTACCTCATTTGTATTTTGCTTTGTGTGTTACCTGTTGTTTTGTCTGTACAGCACTTTGGTTGGCCTTGTAGCTGTTTTAAGTGCTTTATAAATAAAGTGGTATGGTATGGTATGGTATGGTATGGTATGGTATGGTATGGTATGGTATTGCAAACTCAATATTGGTAGGATACGAATACATGTGTTAGTATCCTTAAAAAGGTCTAGTGAGTCCTCGCTCATTAGAATGGGGGCATCCAGCAACATATGGGGGCATGTTTATTTGGGAGTCAAGCCTTGATTCGAGCCTGATTCTGGTATTGGGGTAACCCCATCAACAGGTGATGGAAGGACGCACCTTGCATGCGAGTCCCCTGGAGAGCGATAGATGGAAGAATAGATGACTCTCTATCCTCACTCTGTCCTGAATGAAGACCAGGGGAAATCTGTGTCCCTTTGTCCACCTGTGTTCTTTACATTCTTTTTACACTGCTTCACTGTGGGTGGCATGGTGGATCGGTTGGTAGAGCTGTTGCCTCTAAGCAAGAAGGTTGCCAGTTCAAATCCCGGCCCCGAGACCTCTCTGGATGGAGTTTGCATGTTCTCTCTGTGCATGCTTGGGTTTTCTCCAGGTACTCTGGTTTCCTCCCACAGACCAA